CGGGTCTTACCCCGTGTTGAGATTGCGCTGGAACCCCCATTCCCTATACTACTAAAGATTGACTATAAACTTCGTGAGGAATTTCAAACAATTAATCAATTTTCATTTAACAACGCATTTTAGGAAAACTGCAGCTACAGGGATGTTGTGCATGGATACAACATACATCTTAGATAAATACAATATATATATTTTTACATATTTGCAGCTATTTCAAAAAATGTCGAATACTGCATACTGAATAGTGTATAGAGACTCATGTCATTAATTGTGGCAGTCTTTTGGAAGCCAAGTTCAGGTTAAACGTACATGCTTCAATTAGTATCTACTGATTCTATGTAAGTACAGAATGGTTTTGTTTTTGTTTCTTTGTCTGTGCTTTTCATTATGCGGTATTCAATTTGCATATTTATATGTATATATTGTCTCTCTTTTCTATCTAGTTCGATTTACAAAATTGCAAAGTTTTTAATTAAGTAAACCGATAAGTAAAGCCGTCTTATACAATCGTATAATACTATATAAATACAACAAGTACGCAGATTTTATCATTTCATTAACTTTTTCCCTGAGGCCAGGACATCACAACAGCTTTCGCCAATTACTGTAGGCTCTGTAGATATTGTAAGCACAGACATAAAAATAAATATGGTCGTCACAAGCGTCTTCAGTGGGTTTTTTACGCCATCGTGTTTCTGATATTTTGCCAACCAGCCAATTCACCACGATAAAAAGAAGTTACGAAGCATCGCATGTCCACCTACACAGTGGTAAAGGTAGTGATCATGATACATAAAATGCGAGAGTAGCTATATATAAAGAATTAAGCTAGCGCATGCCAGCAGGCACGACATACCAAGATCAAGCTACATGTTTCAGTTATCGATCCAAATTTAGGGTTTGGCGCAAGGGTAAACAACTCTGTCTAATGAGTTACAGAAACTATATGTTTTAGCCATTTTGAGCAGCTTATAACGTCACAATTCTAAAATTATATGAATACAGAAAACCGCACTGTAGTAAATTCATTAATCATAATAAAATTAGGTAAATGATTTTAAGGCAAAGAAGGCCTACATCTCAATATTTTAGCAAACTACGTAGAGGAGTTAAAAGGAGACTCTGCTCGCAGGGTATTCCAGAAGTAGAAATCTAGAGAAGCCAACAGTATTTGGTGACGAAATTAAAATGGCATCAAAAAATGGTCAAGAATTTCAAGAAATTAAGGGCTTCGACAAAGAAATTGAAACTGAGCTGTTTACATCGGCTAAAGTGATAAAAATTTAGGCTAAACTTAAGCTTAATCCTCTTCGTTCGTGGTATTTAGCGTAATATTTATTTCTTCTTGCCATTACCAGCTCATAAACCAAATTTCAATGTGATTGAAGCTGTGTTGTTGTCATTCCATCCCCTTCAGCGACGATGGTCCGTAGCGTAAAAACAATAATTTGTTTTAATGTGACGTCATTATGAAATAGTTGCTTGTTATCAGAAGGTTGAGGAGAAGCTAGATTAATGACATGCTTAATAACATTTAACGAATAAGTAGCCACTTATAATTAATCTATAAATCATAACTAAATCATAAGTACTTTCAATATGAATGTAGTTTACCAATATTGATTTTTCAACCAGTCAACCAAAACCGTACACTTTTCCACTTAATTAGCATAAATCGTGCTTTGGTGCCATCTCGGCTGCTGTGGACAAAGGATCATGAAATTTTTAAGACGGTAGTGGACATTGCATTTCAGCTCAAAACTAGACCCTGGTAGCAGGGTAAACCGGGCTACCTGGGATCCTTGCAAGTACCAGAAAGGAATGGGACTTAACCCTGGTAACAGGGTAGAATGGGTTGCGTGGGACTGGAGAGGGTCCAGAGGGAGTGTGTCTTAACGTCATTTCGCAGTCTGAATTCTCCTAAAGTGCCATGATCTCAAAATATATTTTTACAATAACTTACAAATTTCTCGCGTGCTGATTGGTTATTTTTTATAAATCGAAATGCTTCATTTAAGACCGTAGTAAATCAAAGATGTTTCTTGCAATTGCTTTAAATTTCATAGTTTTATGTCCACTGATATTTCTAAATCCGAATGGACATATTCTAAAAGTTAAACAAGACCCTGGTTTCAGGGTAAGCTCTGGTTTCAACATGCATGGAGGATTTAGTTGGTTGAGCTTCCAAAAATACAGATAAAGTATTTCGTGACGTCTCGAAGTCGAATGATAAATCAGACCCTGGTTGGGACGGTTTACTAGTGTCAGAGTCTCTAAGAATCTAAAGGAAAAGTAAAAATAAGTTGCAAAATTTCGAACGACAGTGTTAAAAGTCGTTTGCAGGCAGAGCGTTTATTGCCATACTCGTCAAACTCAATCTGGAACTCCAATTCCAGTTCCGGGATCCGGATTTTGGCATATGTAATTAGGTTGTTGTGCATCGACGTCTCAAATTAAAAGCATACACATTCGCACGGCTCGCCAAATAACCTTGGCACGTTCCACCAACGTCTGGTGGCCCCACGTCTGGTGGCCCCACACCTCTGGTGGCCCCTGTACCATTTTCTCCGCGGCAATACAACCTGTGATTACGAAACTTGGCAGGGATGTAGTCACGTGCCCTGTCAGTCACCCCAACGATTTTGGGCATGTGACGTCACATATCACGTGACTTGCTAAGATAACATTATCGCCAGTTTTTGAAATAAACCTTGCAACTTTGTCATTTTGTCGCGGAGAAAAAAAACAAAGCCATTTTACGACTGTGAAACCACAGGTAAAAAAAACAAAGGTATTTTATGACCGTGTTGCCACAGGTAACCCGCTAGGTTCTGTGATACAAATTTAAAAAGCCAGCTTAAAATTCGACGAACGGACTGACTGCTGAACTGATAATCTGGTAATACTACTCCTCTCCCACATGCGAAAAATTGATCTTAAAATTTATTCCGAAATTTTCTGTTACAGGTTCAGTTCAACAAAACCAAAATCTAGAAAGCGAAGGACTGGTTGTTTGGTCCGCTTGATTCTATGGATGCATCTTCCTCTCGTAAAATGCCAAAAATTCCTTGAAAAAGTTGGCATGGCGATTGCACGAAATCCTGGGTCAGCGGTACTTATACCTTTTTCATTAATGGCGATGAGCACCCTTGGATTTCTGCTCATGCAGCAAGCAAACCCATCCTACAGTCTTTTCTATCCTACTGAATCCCAATCCGAACAAGATTTGAACATTGTAAAACAACACTTTCCTTTCGAGAAAACCAGAAAGGAAGAACTCATTTTTACGCCGATGAAAGGATCCAATATTCTGAATGAAAACTGTCTGTTGGACGCGTTGAAAATTCACAATACGATTATCAATATTACAGGATTCAAAAGCCTTTGCGCTAAGAGTCAAGATAACAGAAACAATACCCAAAGTATTTGCATGATGAGAAACGTTCTCGAATTGTTTGACTTTAATCCTGATATGATAAAAAATTATTCCAGTGTACTTATCGACCAGTGGAATGGCAGATCAAAGTTACTTTCCAACGGACGAACATTACCCTTCGACAAAAATAAGATATTCGGCGAGTTTAAAATAAATTCTGACCCCGGTATTGGTGGTCCACCTGCGGTCTTTGCAACCGCGATAAAAATAACGTATTTCTTACACCAGCCACAGGGTTCGGCAGACAAAAATCAAATTCAGAACTGGGAGAGGAAGCTTATTTTAAAAGTAAAGTCAATGCAAAAAGAAATGTCCTGTGTGAACTTGTACGTCGCAACAGATACCGATATCTACGGCTACGGATATCAGCTTTTCGCTCCTCGTGTCCTACCTCTTATTATTTGCTTTCCTTCTCTCATCATTTTGACCTTTATATTGACTAAGCTATCGACCTCTACAACGGGAAGCATGTATATGTTTTTTTTGAGTGTTCTGTGCACTGGACTGTGTTTACTAAGCGCTGTTTCTATAGGGTTTCTATTCAGTGTGGCTTTCTCAAATGCAACCACCATAATACTTGTTTTCCTCGTCGGCAAAGGTTTAAGTGACGGACTGATGCTTATTCAAGAATTAGAATACCAAAGAAAGGTTCCGTCATTAATGCATCGTGTGGCTGGATGTCTGACTAAGATTGGTCTCATCCTTACCACTACAGCTATCTTTGATGCTGTGGTGTTAGGATTTGTAGTCATGACAAATTTCCGCGGCATAATGTATGCTTATGCTCTTGCACTGATTGCTACTGCTGTGGCCTATTTTTTATGTACGAGCTTTCTCGTAGGCCTTTATGTGCTGTGTTTAAAGAGATGCCCAGACTTTCTTAATGTCAGGCAGTGCTGCTCCGGTGCTTCCTGTAATGAAGAAATAGAGCCCTCAATAAATGACACCGATATCCAGAGCCTGGCAAGACCCCGGAAAGGAAGGCTCACAAGGTCCATGGAGATATACGCGAGAGCTTTAGTGAAGACTCATTTTCTAGTCATTGTCATCATTTTCAGCGTTGTTATAATTGCAGGCTGTATTTATATCCACCAAAAAACGGGGCCATTAAAGTATCAAGATAACGCTTTCATAGTTCACTCTGCGCATGTTTCTCGTTTTAAAGCCGTTGAAGCAAACCACTTTAAAGAAACAGACATTAACGTTATCCTCAATGGCCATATCGATTACGGAAAGGTTTCCATTCAAGATGACATAATCAAAATTTCAAACCAGCTGAGTGGCAAATACTACAGCAGGAGAAACGTTACTAACTGGCTATCACATCTGCTGTCATGGGCTTCAAAGGAACACGCCCCTTGCAAAGAGGACCAGTTTCGATCCTGCCTCCACAAATTTTTAGCGACTTCTAAAAACGCCGTCTTTCGAAATGATATAATATACGCAAACACTACCAAAACAGAAGGAGAATCAATTTTAATCTCTCGTTTCCACTTGTTCATGGAGCTCGATGGCAAATTTGAGAATGACAAACAGAAAGTTGCTGCATTACGTAAGGATTTAGACTCTATTGATGAATACGACCTAATAGCTGGTTCTAGTCATTTCTCACTAATTGACATGATATCGAAATTCCAAGACGAATGTACCAAAATTCTAGTGGTGGTAGCCTTAGCCATATTTTTATGCTCTCAACCACTTACCGCAAGTATACGTCTGGGAATACTCCAGGTGATGTCTTTCATTCTTCACGTAGTAGAAATGGTAGTACTCATACAGCTTTGGGACGTCCCTTTGAATCCAGTCACCTTTACCTGTTTGTTTATTGGCTTGATTTGGTCTCTTCACTTTAACATCCAAATCCTACAAGTGCGCGCAGTATCTACAGAGCAAACGACAAGAGAAAGAACAGTGGCGTCCTTGTCTTCAATTGGTCCAAGTATCGTTTGTGGAGTTTTGATTTCATGTGCTTGTTCTATTTCTCTTGCCTTTGTTTTACCACACTTGGATAAGATATTTCTATATGTGATTCCATTATTATTTGTATTCGTGCTCTTTCATACCTTAGCACTTTTACCAACAATTATGCTGCTATCTAGCAAGCCAGTCGAGAAGTGTACCGAAGCGATGACACTTGAAGAGTGGTTTGATTTAACGCAGCTTACGAAATCTGAAGATCAAACAGTGCTAGAAAACAACAACCACTTGGAAAACGAAAATAAGATTTCTAGCACACAAAATGTTAAGCCAACAGTGTCAGTCATTGGCATAAGCTGTAGGTTTCCACAAGCAAAAAACAAAGAGAAATTCTGGGAAATGCTTTCAAAGGGTCATTGCGGCGTAACCGAGTTTCCTTCTAATCGACCAGAAGAGTATAAAATGTTTCATTCGTTGTATCATCCCAAGCGCTTTGTCAAAGGAAGACTCTGCACCGTTGGTGGGGCTTTCCTGGAAGACATACGAGGATTTGATGCCGAATTCTTCAAGATTTCACCACAAGAAGCTCCTGCTATGGATCCTCAGCAACGGATACTTCTTCATGTCGTCTACGAAGCAATTGAAGATGCTGGGCTTCGATTAGAAGACCTACAAAAAGGCAAAACAGGAGTTTTTGTAGGAATAATGAACCTGGATTACGCTGCAAGAGTAATGCAGCGGGATAATTGCTATAACATGGATCAGTTTTATTCAACTGGCACAACATCATCCATTGCAGCAAATCGAATTTCCTTTTCCTTGAATCTGACTGGGCCAAGTCTTGCTGTGGACACAGCATGCTCATCTTCTCTTACAGCACTTAGGATTGCTCAAGATTGTCTTATCAACGGCCAGTGTGACGTAGCAATCGTCTGTGCTCCTAACATTATTCTAGATCCTGCAGTACAGATGACATTTAGTATTGGTGGTCTTCTTGCTCCAGATGGCCGTTGCAAGTGTTTTGACGCTTCTGCCGATGGTTATGGACGAGGCGAAGGCTTCGTGGCTGTTATTCTAAAGGTTACACAGATTTCATTAGCTGATAATGATGACATTTACTGCGAGATTTTAGCTTCTGGTATGAACAACGACGGACAAAATGCCGTTCCAATTACTGCTCCAAGCCCTAAAACGCAGGCAGAACTATCAAAGTCAGTTCTCGAAGAGACTGGACTTGATGCAGCTGACATCGAGTACGTCGAAGCCCATGGGACTGGAACCGCTATTGGAGACTTCGTAGAAGCGTCCTCTATAGCCAGCACATACTGTGACAAGAATACTATAAGCCAAAGAATTCTTCGCGTTGGATCGGTCAAGTCAAACCTTAACCATACAGAGTCCGCATCAGGGCTAGCAGGGCTTATTAAAGTGTCATTGATGATCAAGAGGGGTATGTTTCTTCCAACCATTAACATCAAAAACTTGAATCCAAGACTTAAGCTCACTGACAAAGGAATGATAGTTCAGGAGGCTCTAGAAGAATGGAAAACGGCCCAAGGAAAACGTCGGACAGCCGCTCTGAGTTCTTACGGTTACGGGGGGTCGAATGTGCATGCCATACTTAGAGAAGTTTTACAAGAAAAGAAGCCAAAACAAACCACTTGTGATCAGATAACCAAAGATTGTTTTATCTTGACTTTATCAGCCCCATCTGAAGATGGCCTTGTGAACGTTGTAAAGCACTTTGAGCCCTGGTTGAGAGAACAGCCAGAAACAAGCGAATTCAAGCTCAACTTGTCTTATTCGCTCATTGAAAGGCGAAGCCATCATGAACAACGCCTGGCTGTTGTATTCAACACTCTTTCCGATGCTGCAGACTCGCTTTGTTCGTTTGCAAATAAAACCTTAAGAAAGGAATCACATATTATCTCTGGAGCTGCAAACAACAATAGCCAAAACCTCTTGTTCGTATTTGGAGGACAAGGTACCAACTGGAGTGGTATGGGAAGAGAAGTGATGCATTCAGAGCCAATATTCAATGAAGCCATTGTTAAAATTGACAAAATTGTCAAGGATGCTGGAGAAAAGTGGTCGTTAATCGAAGAGCTCTCCTTGAACGAGAAAGAGACAAGAGTGAAGGGTACCATAGTTGGGGAGGTTGCCACCTTTGCCATTCAATATGCTACCTCAAAGCTACTTGAGTCGTGGGGAATCCTACCGTCAGCTGTAGTGGGACACAGCCTCGGAGAGGTGGCTGCAGCCTGCGTAGCAGGAGCCCTTACGTTGGAGGCGGCAGTGAAAATTGTCTTGGTGCGATCGAAGTGTCATGAGAGGTGTTCAACGAAAGGTTCAATGGCTGCAGTTGGACTATCACAGGATGAAACTCAGGAACTGATAATAAAGCTGAAACTGGAGAACATAGTTTGTGTTGCTGCAGTGAATGACTATGAAAATGTTACCATTTCTGGCGATGCTGATGCTGTAGAAAGTATTGGAAACCATCTTAAACTTAATCATCCTAGCGTGTTTTGGAAGAAGCTGTCAACTCTTCGAGCTTTTCACAGCTACCAAATTGACGCCATCAAGAAAATATTCGTTGAAGACATTAAAAGCTTAAAAATCAAGCCGAGAACGCTACGGATACCTATGTACTCCACTGTACATGGTGATCAAGTACTAGGCAAACAGATTGACGAGGAATATTGGTGGAACAATATGAGAAAACCTGTTGTCTTCTATCATGCCATGAAAAACGCTCTCAAAGATGGTTTGAAGATGGTAATTGAAATCAGTCCCCAGACAGCTCTGAGACATTACATTCACAATATCTCAGTGAGAGTAACTGCGTCCTCCAACAGTCCTGTCATACACTTTGGGGCGTTTCCAAAAAAGTCAGTAAAAGACCAGCTTGCAGAGTTTTTGAAGAATACGATTTGTAAACTCTACGTCTTTGGCTATCCCGTTCTTTGGTCCAGCTTCCTCGGGCAAGAACCTCGACAATTTGTGCGATTTCCCACATACCCCTGGCAGGAGAAACGTTTTTGGTACAGAAATAATCCTCCTTCAAACACCGTTCGTTCTTTAGAACCCACCAACGACGTTCATCCGAGACATCCTTTTTTAGCTGAGGTCAGAATTACGGAGCAATTTTCTGGTATTCAATGCTGGGAAACAGAGATTGATCTTCACAGGTTTCCCACGTTTAAAGACCACGTTATCATTCAAGGAGGGCCAGTACTTCCTGGATCATCATTTGTCGAGATGGCCATTGCAATGGCCTACGAAAGGTTCCATTGTTCTGAAGGCTTACAAATCACAAATGTACGCTTCACAAACCTGCTCACACTACCAGAGAGCCAAGTACGTCTGCTGAGACTTAGACTGGAGACGAATGACAGTACTACAGAAGCAAACTTTTCTGTTGTCAGTGTACATCCTGAAGACGGCACAGAAATGGTGCTAGCAACTGGAGGGATTGTTGCTGACTCTTCTGCAAACTATCCTGATTGTTTGAGCAGAGGTCAGTAAATCCTAACTATATGATCATGAAATAAAACTGAAATACCTGAATAAAAATACCTGCACTGATCTATATTATATGCTATATACCACAAACTGTCATCTTCATGGTTATAATACATTGCTTCTTCAAACTTCTGTTTGTTTTTAACATTTATTTTGTCTACCTTTCGACTTACACGGTCAACTTCACGGCAGAGTCATTTCATCTTTATTTTGCATTTAAGTGAAGACGCTAATTAAAATGCAAAAGATCAAAATCATTGGTTATCCAGAATATTGGGTAGGAGGTAATCATAAATTGTAGTTCTTAACAGTTGTGGTGAAAATCAGTATTCATCTTCTGCTCTTTACTTCACACCGTGGATAATTGATTTCGTTCTTGATTTCAGCAGGTCAGTCATCAAATCCTGAAGCGCTAACAGAACAAACCCTCGATCCTGCACTCCAGAAGATAATATCGTCTATGGATGAGGTCCCACTTTCCACAATCCGACATGTGACAGAGAAATTTGGCTTTGACTTTGGCCCTTGTTATTCACTACTTAGAAGAGTTTGGCGCCAAGGGGACCGGGCATTGTGCGTGCTGGAAATGGATGGTCCATTTGCTTCCGAGATACCCATGTATGTGATACATCCAGCGTTTGTCGATGCATGCTTCCAGGTTCGTTAAATATACCTTTGACTTTATCAAGCCAAATTATTTGTTTGACCCGAGGGGAAGTTTTTCCCTCAGTATTCTTGTTTTCTAATTAACGTAGCAAACCAAGCCGAGTTTTAGAGTGCGACGCGCGAAAATATGACCAAATTTAATTTATTCACATGCTTCCATGCACGAGCTTTTTGCTGCCAAACGAGCTTTTACATGCCTTATTTGATAAAAATAGCCATCTTTGCATTGAAATATTCCCGTGCATAAAATCATACGATTCATACATTATCGCTGGCGGTCACACTTTTGCACATCGCGCTGTAAGTATATAGTGGCCCGGAACTGAAGCGAATGCTAAAACTTTGGTTAAAAGAATAAGAAGTGGGGATAGAAGAGTAGATAGATTTTACCCTTGATATTTCACAAACTAAAAGCCCTTCATATTTTTCTCAATTTAGACTGCAGTTGCAGTTGAAGATGACGAACCGGACCAAGAAACAAAAAGTATTTCGGTTCCAATCGGAGTGCAGAATTTTACCGTGATTGATTCAAGGATCCCCAAAACCACATATTGTCACGTGGCTAAAAGTGAGTCTGGGAACATCACCACTTATGACATGAGGCTGGTTGATGCTTTTGGAAAAGTTTATGTCACTATCGAAAAGTTTCAATCCACCGACATCACAAATCTTGTCAGGTCACCTAAACTATGCGACGTGTGCTATCAAACCGAATGGATTGCCTCAGAATTAAGAGAGACTGGGAGCTTCCTTGATTTTTCGAAATGCCTTATTGTGGTGTTAAATGATAATCATGGCATTGCGAGTTCATTTGCGAAGAAGTTTACGACGAGTGTTACAGCCAAGGTGCGTAAATAACAACCTTCCCTTCTTGTATACAGTTATTTAGAAAAGGTTGGTGAAGGTTTTGTTACATATTGCTGCACACCAACAGTTACACTATTGGCGATGCAAGCAGAGAAATGTCTCAACAATATAGGATCTTCCCAAAGTTTTTCTATATGTTTTTCCGGCATATTTTCTTTTGTGCCAATATTATTTACATATTGTCCACTCATACAAACGTATTCCCAAGTCTGAGCTATGCTTTTAAAGGGTGTAAATGAGAATCACTAGTGCCTACGAAGTACAGCCCAAAATGCATGTTACAAGACTACTTGCTTATCGGCAGCACCTCATTTTAGTTTATTTTATGCAAGTTTGACTAAGTCTCGTAATTTTTAGCTTTTATCTTCATAATCATGAATGTATGACGATTTGCTTTTAAGGTCGTACCGATTGAGTTACCTGAAGATACCAAAATCCAAGCATTGGCTGACATTTTGCGAGCAGCTTTGCCAGCCCCAGACGACACGTTCTTCTCTAAGCTGATCGTCATAAACTTTACGCCACTACAAGTCAACTCAAATCTTTCAAATATTGAGAGCATCGACAAGAGTCAAGAACTTGCATTCATGAACTCTGTGGAGGTCCTGAAGATCCTCGTGGAAGTTCAGAGCCAGTTGCCAAACATTAATTCCTGTCAATTTGTCGCTGTCAGTTGCTGTGCTCAGATAATCACCGGCATGGAAGACACATCATTACCTTCGGGGTCCACAGTTTGGGGTTTGTGCAGAACGGCATCCCTCGAAATTCCTAAACTCAGAACAACTATTATTGACCTCTGCAAAGCGAACGACACAGAATTAGATCTCCTTGTAGAAGAGATCAAGGTAGGCTAAGTCAATAAGGCTCAGGTTAAACTACGAACTTCACATGGGCCGAACTTAATTGAAACAATGGATATTAAGGCGGTCTTCCTTGATGTCATTAGGTTCGGCTCATGTGGAGTTTGACGTTTGACATGAGCCTGAGTTGTTCCAGTGAATACAATGGGATGATTTAACCTCATTTTAAGTGCGCGCGGGGCTAAAACATATCTCAATCAGTAAATACAGAAAATGATTCTAGTCTTTAATATGCATGGTTTTCACTTGTCAAACAGTATAAAATTAACTAAGTTCTTTCTGTTACCTTAGAACAATGGAGCAGAGGATGAAATAGCATTCAGAGATGGAAAAAGACTTGTCAACCGTCTCACAAGAATCAAATCTGAAACTCAAGTTGTAAGTGAAGATTTGCCTCAAACGCTTAAAGTCGATGCCAGTCTGGTATATGCATTACTTCATCCAAGCAAAGAGAAGATTTGTCTAAAATATGGCACTAGAAGTTGTCCCGTAAATGAAGATGAATTAGAAATTGCAGTGAGTCATTTCTGGATTCCACCGAACATCGAAGGCCGTCTGAAAAGTGGAAGCGAGTATTTTGGATTTTCAGGTCAAATCATCAACTCAGGATTGAAAACTGGGGAGTTTGTTTTTGGAGCCTCACAACAGCAGCGGCTTAGCAACATCCTTCAAGTCAACCAGTCCGAGGTTATCCCAAAACCTGAACATTTACAATTGAGCCCACAACAAGCTGCAACTTTGCCCAGCTGTCTAACCCTAGCACATTATGCGCTTCAACAAGCAACAATCGGCGCGAAAGTGGGTGGAACAATTATTATCAACGAAGCTAATCGGGATCTGGGCATTGCAGGTTTGCTTGTAGCTCGAGCATTAGGATTTTCGGTGTTCTCTACGTCTTCAGAGCCACGACTAGAGGTTTCAAAACGTCTTCTAGAGAAATATGGAGCCGTTGTAGTGACTGATTCACAATATGCAGGTATTATTAAAATTATCATCATCATTATGTACCAATTAGCCTCGGACAGCTTTTCAGTTCCAATGTGTACAGCTACTTAATATATGATGAAACTTATACTAAATTTGACATAATTTTAATGATTTGCTTAAAGAATTTCCAAGACAATATTCAAGTACAGTAGAAGCTTCCATCTTCTTCTACAAGCCTCAACCAAACAGCATACGAAAGAGCTGTAACCTTCTGAGACCAGGAGGCAAAATTGTAATGCTTGGAGAAACATTCCATGGCAACGTGATGATCCCCTCGGATAAATGCATTTCGTATCAGAGGATATCCTACAATGACATACTGCAGCCTCTAGGGAAATTCAAAGAAATGTGGTCTAACTGCTTGAAGTTATTGCAGAGTTCAGGTATCGAAAAGCAGGTCCTTGGTATTGAACAGGAAGAAACTAGCGTCTTTGATATCTTAGGAGTTAGCTTGGATCAAGGTGCAGAGAGCAAAAAAAGTTTTGCTAAACCAGAAACTGCAAGCGCAGATACCATATGTAATCTCATCACTGATTTCCTATCAGACGAAATAAGTTCTACTAGGAGTGAGCTGAATCCGACTGTGTCAATGAACATGTCGTTTTCCTCCTTTACGTTTATCGAAAAGGAAAAGAAACCAAACAACGCACAGGTGTTGCCAGTTGGCTTCGATCAATATGGGCTGAAGCGTAATCGTACTTACATGGTTGTTGGGGGAGTAAGAGGGTTTGGTTTTGAGGTTGCACGCTGGATGGCACAGAAAGGTAAATTTGTTTTAAGGTGCTTCTCAGCATCATTAAGGCATGGCTCTCAGATGAAAAACTGTTTCGCTATATCATAGCCAGTTTTCTACGAATCTTCCCCAAACTTGGCAAGTTAATGTCTTTTGTGAAAAGAAGGAACCTTAGAGCCTTGGTTACCATGGAAACTAAATCACGTGACCACAAGGCCGCCATCTTGGATTTTTAAACAAATCGTTTGTAGTCGTATTGAAACTACTTCAAAAGTCCTGAAAATCCATATTCCTTTTTATATTTGCAATACCTATATGGATCTAATTGGATATCTTGGAAGTTATATTAAGTTTAATTTTTAGAATATTTTCTGTATTTTCCAAAAAATTAAAAATATTCTAAAAATTAAACTTAATATGATTTCCAAGATATCCAATTAGATCCATATAGGTATTGYAAATATAAAAAGGAATATGGATTTTCAGGACTTTTGAAGTAGTTTCAATACGACTACAAACGATTTGTTTAAAAAATCCAAGATGGCGGCCTTGTGGTCACATGACCTGGTTTCCATGGTAACAGATATGCGGTAATTGCTTGCCTTGAAGAATTACTACTACGAGCCAAATTTGGGAAAGATTCATAGTAAACTGTCAAAGATATGAATAAATAACTGATTTTCCATCACTTCCTCAAAAGAGCCATGCCTTAATGGTGCTGAGTTCCACTAAAGATAATATTCCTTGCAACTAATCTCGCATATTTGTATCTCCGCCAACTTCTCACAACTGCGACAACACGCTACATCAGAATTGCAAGCTGATTAGGCAAGTTATGCTTAAGAATTTCTCGTGCAACTTGAGAACATTGATGTTTTAATGTAATGCGCCTAAACAAATAAGTTATTATCATCATCATCATCATTACTTGTCTTGCAACGAAATCGTTGACAAGTTGCTAAATTTCCTAGTGTAACATTGCCAGGATAACAATATAAGAATATGACATCACAATCTTAATGATTATAAATTCATGTGCTTCTTTGAAGGAGCTGGCACCATTGTCCTTGTAGCTCGATCCGTCCCTTCGAGTTCAAAACTGCAGGAAGTTTCTTTACTAGAAAAAGAAACTGGCGCAAAAATAAAGATTTTCCAAGCTGATGCGTCCAGTGTTGAGCAAATGCAGGCTCTTTATGCAGATAAACTTGTACAGTTACCCAGCATGGCAGGGATTGTCTTAACGGCAATGGTGCTACACGACCAGCTCATTTCACAAGTTGACAGTGACTCTTTCTATAAAGTCATGGCACCAAAAGTTACTGGTAAAATGTTCAAAAATTTTGTAATAAAACATAAGTTACATTAAAACACGTCTAAACAAAAAAAGAAGAAGAAAAAAAGATTTTGAAAGAAAGAAAGGAAGGAAGGAAGGAAGGAAGGAAGGAAGGAAGGAAGGAAGAAAGAAAGAAAAGACGGGAGAAAAGTAAGAAAACGAATATGGATCTCGAAATAGCTGTAATCGTATTTCACTTTTTCTTCACAGGTGCATCGATACTTCATGAAATGAGTTTAAAAATGGACCTGGATTTTTTTATTCTGTTTTCGTCGATTGCGTCTTTGCTTGGTAACCCTGGGCAGGCATCTTACTCAGCAGCCAATGCATTCCTTGACAGCCTCGCATGTTACAGAAGACGTGTCCTTGGATTACCAGCTCTTTCAATCAACTGGGGACCAATTCAGGGAGCTGGAGTCTTGCAAAGACAAGAAGATATTGCAAAAATGCTTTCCAGGGCTGGATACAGGATGACGGATGCCCAAACAGGCAAGTCATCCACTCTAATATAGTTTATCTCCAATTTTTTATGTCATAACAACAAACGTTTCGTCCATGAAGAAATGATGTATACTTTTGCAAGTAACTGATTCAGATTTTTGAATGCATTTGAAATTCTTTTTGTTTCGCATACCAGCAAATGTAATTGCTATACATGTGCTTCTCATTGAAAAGCGTAAAGTTATATAACAAGACACCCTAACAGCTATTCTGTCTACAAATGTTCCAGTAGTTGCCCCCTTGGCATCCCATGATAATGTCTAAATTAAAAAAAAATAGAATTTAAGATGTCTGCCATATTGGTATAAAAGATCTAATCGTTCCACTTTTCATGTTTCCCTTGCCAGGTGTGAAGTTCATGGAAGAAATCCTTATCAAATACCCACTTGTTTGTCAGCTCGGTTTATTTGATGCAGACTGGTCACGGCTAATGGAGACATCCGTTGCACTTAAAAACTCAGCTCGCTTTACAGCAATCAAGGAAGAAGTTGACGTACAAAGGACCCATCAAGATATGGACTCTCTCGGTCCAAGGATAATAATGGAGAGCGACCATAAGAAGAAACAGTCTATGGTCGAAGAATATGTTTATGAGATCATTTCTCAGTGGGTCGGAGTGTCTCCTTCAGAAATCGACCTTAACACCAGCTTATACAGCTATGGATTGGACTCTTTCTTCGGTCTGACGTTGAAGATGCAGCTCGAGACAACATTACAAGTTTCCTTTGAGGTTAGCCTATATACTGTTTCGTTCGAGGTTAGCTTATATAGTACTCATTCTTTATATAGATACAAACCAGTCTAAGTAACGCTACTCAGGGGAAAAAGCGTACGTCGCGTGATGATGGTAGCGGCGGCCAGGGTCAAACAAACTAAGTCAAACAAACTAAGGTGGCTACTGCATGACTATTGCTTATTGTCCTGCATACGCGAGATTGGGGATTGGGGCAGGTCTTGTGGTTTTCCTCCCCATTCCCCTCACGATCAATATTGATTTTCCAAAGTCTCATTTCCAGTTGGAACCATCGTGAAAATTAAGGTCCCCACTACTTTCACGTAAACGAGAAGCACAGAAATAATAAATATTTTAATTATCTATTATTTTTTAAATATCTTTTTAAATCGAAGGCCTTCTACTTCATGCAACACGACACTACTCCCGCCAAGGTTGTACAAGACGTGCTCACCAAATTACAAGTTCAGAGTCAATCAAACTCCAGTCCTTCTAATAAAGAGGGTTCGAATACTACGCAAGAAAATACAGACGCAGTCACTCATGACGATGATGAAACAACGAGTGAAACGTACCCAAAGGACGAGAGCTGTCCGACAGCAACCTATCAGGTTATGCCTCTTTTCACGCCTAAAGGAGCGAAGGTCATGTTTTTCTGTATTCACCCTGCTGGACGGTATGCCATGAACCTTATACCAATCTCAGCAGCATTTAAGACACAGGTTTGTTGTACAAAATATGCAGAACCTTATACACTATTTTCAAAATATAGTATAGCTTAAGTAGTACTCGCCATCTGATTAGTCGAAGAACTGTGTTTTAATAGGACAGTTGATAGATAGATAATTTGTAACACCGTATGGTATGTAAAAATGAAACTGACGTTTCGGACGTTAGTCCTTCATCGGAGATGAACTATCTATCAACTGTTTTACTGAAAACACCGACGCAGTTTACACTAGTTTTCACTAGTTTTCCACCTTATTCATGTGTTTTAATAGGGATGAGAGCACTGTTGCTAACGCCATCTGCTCGCGCGCTGCAAACTTTGCAACCAGATTTCAAAACCACAACGTTTCTTCTATCTTGCTTTTTCTTGCGATATTGTTACAGAACCTTATCTCTTTCTTCGCAATTGGATACACCGACCCTACAATGACCGGTGATAACAGAAGTGTAAATGAACTCGCGCGAAGTTATGTCAAAATGATCAAGCAAGTCCAACGTCGTGGTCCTTATTTTCTGGGAGGCCAGTCCTTTGGAGGACTCGTAGCGTATGAAATGGCAAGTATTCTAATAGAGGAGGGAGAAGAGATTTCTTTCGTGGCAATGATTGACACATTTCCATGGGAAATGCAGAACCGGTCTGGTGCTGCACGGCTTGAAATTTTGTTTCGAGGCAGAAAGCTGGAAGATATGATGGAAGACCTTTTCCAGGTAAATAAACGTATTCAAAGTTCTTGATAATAGCCAACTTTCGAAATATGCTTCGCTTGTCAAGCACAAAGGTTTCAATGTTTGGCTTCGTGCATAATGCTCAGTAATTCGTGATAGGAGTAAAGAATAAATTTAATTTCGCACGTAGCCTCGTACTACAACCTTTGCGTGTGACAAGCGAAGCATATCTCGGTAGTGGACTATTTGCGATATAATGCTCAAGCTCATTCAACAGCTGTTTATTTAGACTGATTACCTATCATGTCCCACAGGAAGCCATGAAAGGCGTTTTCGACAGCGTCACACTACATTTTTTTTTTTCATTTTTCTTCTTCTTTATTTTGTGAACAATAATCACTGAAACATCTTTCAGGCAACGTTTGAACAAGTTTTGTCCAAGCTCGCATCTCAAACACTGAACATCCCGCCTGAGGAATACGAGAAACAAAGAAAAAGAAAGACGCAAAACCAGACAATTGAATTTCTACAAAACAAAGCAAGGGAACTTGACATACCTTTGTACGATATCAGGCGGTTGAAGGAGGCACTGCATCAAGATAATCAGCTGGCTACTCGAAAACATCGCGAATGGAAACCTGGGGCGGTAAGGCAATATAACACTTTATATGACTTAATCATAGATAATATTAACTATGATTAGGTGTATCTATTAACTATGGTCTAATATAGCCTCCTCAGTCGCAGGCTACTCGCTGGGGTTTGTGTGGCGGTTCGAGATGGATGGGTTTCCTGTGGTGAAAACGAGGAAGGGTACTAGTCCAGAAATTGTAGAAGAAATTGTACTCAAGAGAATGACATGGGGTATGAAATGACACTGAAAAAACAAACAACAAAAAAACAAACAAAAAAACAAAAAAACAAAAAAAACAAAAAAACAAAACAAAACAAAACAAAACAAAACAAAACAAAAAAACAAAAAAACAAAAAACAAAAAATAGAAAGAAAAAAAATCAAAGAACAAACAAACAATGAAAAACACACTCATACACCAAATATAACAATAACAAATTCACCTAGATATTCAATTCTTCCCCGCAGGTACACTACAAAGGTCCAATTGCATTTTTAAAAAGCGCTGATCAGCGATACACTCCCATTAAACCATTGCAAGAAAGCTCAGACGACGCATGGTCCTTGCTCGTGGATGGTAACATTGATGTGTACGTGTGTCCTGGTGATCACTTGGCTCTAAGTGAGCCTGAAGATGCCCTAGTAACGGGAAGTATCCTAGCAAACACCATTGCAGTAACCTATCGTAACCAGTTTGGACAGATATCTTACTTGGCGAGAACCTACAAACAGAAAAAAGCTACTGAAAGATTTAAGCATGGAGTCCAAGCTTTTCTGCATTCTAGAAAAGGTAAAATAAATTGTCCTTGTTTTACGAGGATAGCACTTCATAGCCAGTGGCTAACAAGCTTGTGGTACTCCTTCCATAACTGAATTGGAATTTAGGAGTTGATTTTAATGGAGGGAGGAAATAAAACCCGGGGGGAGGGGGGTAACCCTCAAAGCACAGACGAGAACCTTTATATCCGCTGTCATGCTCATGAACGTATTAATAAATCAATAATCGGTTCAAGAGAAAATGAAAATGAAAATGAAAATGATTTTACGATTTTATGTTTTTATGTTTTTAGGATTCAAAGCTCCAAAATTTGGTAAAGTGTACCTTTTGGAGCAGAAAAGGACGCTGGTATTTCAGCCTCTGACAACGAATGCAAAGAAGGGCAAAAAAACAGAGAAAGAAACTGGGAAAAGGAGTGAAAAAGTCATTGAAATAGCAGGTATAGTAAATGATAATAACGGGATTCAAGTTTTCTATCAAATACAGTGGAAAGGATCACGTGACCTATCCGTGCACAATACTTGTTTCATGACACATGCCACTCATAGACGTTTCACGTTTTATTTACCTCAGAGCTCACCAATGTCCAGCCCGGAAGGTACGTGGCAAAGACATTGAAAAGCATCACCCAAGCAAGGGAGGTCAGTGGTCATCGGACAGGGGATCTTAACTTGATCATTGCCTTGGTTATGTCTTCACATCGAGTCTATAGCTTCGAGTTGCTGAATTTAGCTGACTTGAAGGACTTCATCCAGATGATGGAAGCCTTGTTGGTTGTGTCATTGGTGCAAAAGTGACGGGATTCACTGTCACCTCATTTAAATAGCAAGAACTACTTACACGGTATCTATCCGTTGTATTCCTAAGTCGTAAGTCGTCGTAAGCCGTCGTAAGTCGTAAGCCGTCGTAAGTCTGAAGAATCATATTTACTACAGCCTTGTGCAAAAAACTTTGACCCTTTACATTTGTAACGCATGTATTAAACAAGTATATCAAAAGTATATCAGAAATTATGGGATATCATCCCCGGTAATTTTTTTTCGGGAAGCCCTAATGATAGACAACTTAAAATATTAGGGATATCCCATAATTTTATAACTTGATGTGTCCACTCAAGGTGTATTGCGTGAATAGAACGTTTGCATGATGGCGTCATTTGACTCCCACTACCATAATACTTCATAATGCTTCGCGAATTTTAATTCTCTGCATTGTTCTTGCCCTTAAACACGGTACTGCTATGAAAAACCTTTTAGCTTAAGTAGAGGAAGGAGATTACTGAATTTTAGCCTGTGAAACCAAGGAGGTTTCACCACCTCCCGGGTAAAACCAAGTGAACAGGAAAAAATAGTATTAAGGCTGCATTCATAACACATCCCCCTTAAAGTCATGCAAAAAAATACGATCCTCCCGAAGCAAGGCTTGTAGCTTCTTCCAACAATTGTGCATCACCCCCATTTTTCTGATAAAAATTTGCTCATCCCCCCCCTTTTTCCTACCAAAATTTTCCCGATCCCCACTCAATTTCACCTCCCCCCCCCCTGCCATGCATTATGAATGCAGCCTAAGAAAAATTAATAAGGAATGATGAAATAAAATGTCTCTAAAGAGCGTCCTACAGGCTGATGAAATATACGTAAAAATAAATTGTAGCTCAAAAATAAAATAAAATCAATAATTACTCAGGATTGATACTGAATTGATTTTGTTGCCGAAATGGTGCACAATAACATTTCCTGAATAATTCCTGATTAACTGAATAATTAGTATTTTAAAGATATAGATACAAAAGAAACTCATAAGGGGGTTGTATTAAACCGCTTTCAGTTTCTGGATACACATTATTTGATTCTAAAGCCCCCTAGTTTGTTTTATTATATAGCAACAAGGTAATATCAAAAATGTCTCTGTCTATACCTTCAAGTGAAATAATTACAACAGTTTCAGTTTGCTTGAAAAATAATTGATTCCTGTGTTGTCGTTCTTTTTAATTTTTATAATTCAACGTTCTTGCGATCGAGGTGCGTATATAACTGCTATGCAAATTCTTATTTGGCATTTATCAAATTAACAAAGACTTGCGAAATAAGTATTTAACACCATATTGTTAACGCTCTCATACTGACCCCCACATTACCGTCATAGCCCCCAAATATGGTAGCACAGTTGAATTCTGTAACGACCCATATCGTCGTTACAGATGAAGAGTTAAAGCCGTCACAGCACGTTTATGCAATGACAAAATAACAACATAACTCGATATTAGACATGCATTTGGAAAGCATACAGCACAGAGAGTAGCAGTGTCGTTATCATGATTCTAGTAAGCTTTCTCGCTTTGCTCTCTTTAAGCTCTCTGCCTAAAATGTTTGGGAATCCACTTCGAATGGCGTCGAACTCGTATCCAAAGCCTTTCACGCGTGAATTGAAACTTCAGGATCCTCCGATGAAAGGTAAAATAATATATTTGGTTTACGTTTTTTCGGGCAGACTTTTTTCCTTTATTTGTTTGTTCTTCTTGTAGAACTTGTTTTTAGCTGTTCGAGAGAGAGAAGCACTTACGTAATGTTTTGCGCTGAATTGGAATATCAATCGGTGATTTTATTACAGTCTGACTTAATAACGTCCGGTAGAATTCGAGAGTATTTTTAGCGGAAGCAAACGGGCTTTGAAATAACTATCGTTAGAAAGATTTCCAAATTTTTATGTAGCCATTCATGTAATAAAGAATATTTTCCATAAGTCCATATTTCTATATTTTCCATGAGCGGTAGGTTTCGCTCCATTGTGTCACCTAGTGACGGTGTGTGAGCGATATCCAGAATAGACAAAAGATCGAAAACACTGACTTATGAAGTCAGTCTAAATAAATAAATAAATATATATATTGCTTTAACGTTACCTTAAGTCTAAACGTCACCCTCTCGAATCTCATATCTTTCTTTACACATAGAAGAATATAAAATAAAAGTGATGGAAATATATGGGAAAGTATCTTTTACTCTGTTCATTTTCTCTGGGCTTCCTGTGGTAGGTGAGAATAGGGAAGAAGAAGAAAGTCGAGATTTTTGTTGTTGTGAAATTTAATAATGAAATGTAACTTTTTGTATTCAGGATCAGACGTCATGATATTACAGAGCTTGTTGGCCAGGTGTCCTTCCGTCACGAGTATAAAAACCACGGGTGCGTTCGATCAACAAACACAGACAGCATTAGCTGACTTCCAGCGAATCAACCATGTGAATAAGTATGATGTCTAGCTCATAAATAACGAAGATCTAATATGGGTTGGAAACCTGTGGACACTCAAATGGTTTCCGCTCTAGCAATCACGTGATTGGAAAGCCATTTCAGTGCTTGTCACATGCCAACGCATCTTCCAACTCGTATAAAATCTGTTGATAGATAGATAATTTGTAACACCGTAGGGTATGTAAAAATGAAACTGACGTTTCGGACGTTAGTCCTTCATCGGAGTAAACCAAAAAAAAATATAAAATCTGGTTTACAGCGCTTCTCAATCACGCGTGAAATCGTACAATTTGTCATCGTGACGAAGAAAGTTTTGTTGAACGTCAATCAATGACATTCCATAGGCACGTGCCCCACTTAAAAAGCTTTGGGCTTTCCGACAATATACTGGGAAACACTTTGATTGGCGTCCACTAAAACTCTATTGTCGCATAAAACGTTTCAACCATTTCGCGCGTATGATTGATAAGCGTTGTTAACGCTTTAAATATTTTAAGTTTTATAGTTGTGCATATCATGACGTAACAGTCTTGAAATCGTATATGCATGCATGTAAAAGCGTACAAATCTTGATATGATTTTCCATCTAACTGAGATCCAATTGAAATGGAAGACGGAGGAGGATAAGGGTCTTTTAAGAATTTTCTCTGTTTAAATTTTCAACGCTTTGAGGGCATTCGCCTCAAATGGTGCCGATTTTCTTGATTTCATAGTTCTGGTAAATTGGACATAAAAAGCGCAACACTGGTGCTGGATCAGCTGATGTACGACGGTTACAAGGATGACGGGAAAATCCCCAAGGGATACAAATTTAAGGTGGGTATTTTATCGTGCAGTCTTTCAACCTTTGCACCAACAGAGGTCATCTGTCATGAGTGCAAGAATTTCACTTATCTTTCTCAATTTATTTTCCGTCCATAGCTTTACATTCCCGTCCACAAAGATCGAAATATCGAGACAACTGCGACCTTATACGACTCTAACTACCAGGTATTCAATGATTTACTGTTCACACTTATTTCTGGACGTGACATCTGATGTAGAGCTTTTTGGGCCTCCCTTGATTCGACGGTTTTTCCAGTCTTCCTCCCTCTGCAAAACCTACCTAGCTAAATTTCAGTTAGCCTTTTCCTGATTGGTCAGCTCAAAGGTTGCTGTTTCAGGGTTATAAAATTTGAAGGTCTTTTGAAAGCGACAATAATGTTCAACCTTCTTAGCTTTTTACTACGGGAATTTTAGTATGAGTTCAATTTTTTTAACTCTCGGCTTTACAAAAGCTTCAGAGAACGGCCGTGCAAAGATCACAGGCAGGGGTGCGGACCCTGACAGGATTAACTACAGCACTGCATTATTAATATTAACACAAGGCCAGTATAGATTTTAATATTTTGTATCTACCATTAGGTTAGGTATAGATTTCTAGTGCGCACTCATGGTCACATCACAGACACAGGCGAAGAATTAAACCAGTTGACTACCGATGGTAACACACCAACAGGACTTGCGGTAAGTCATCGTATCCAAGGTCCAAGAGCGTGCTCATTGCTTGTTTAGCTGGGACTGCGCACTTTCGGAATCCCTGTTATTTATTTTGCTCAAGTTGAATGGGTTTTCCCATCGAATTGTTTTCATTTTCAGTATCATTGACGGACCACTTGACCACCATGACCTTGACCTTGGCCAGATGTTTAACTTTGCAGTTAAAATGACAGGGTTTCATACGTGGTCATGAGTGACCAGCTTTCGATCTTTTTTTATTCTTTGCATCTAAAAAATTCGAGCATTTTTTCCCGTTGTTTTTATCAGTAGAACTGCGCGCAGGAAGGTCCGAAAGCACGGAAAAAGGAGAAACGACAGCCACGAATCTTAGGCTGCTTATTTATTACTCAAAGTTGATTGTGGATGACGGATCGATGTTTAGAATTCAGGAACAAGATTTTGAATTAAATACAGTCAATAAGGGTCGAGTGTTTAAGTCCCCTATAGAATGCGTACATCTTTAACAACAATTTTTATTTTTAATTTTCAGACTTTTGATCTTAACAGTCCTGAACCGAATCCCGTGTTGTTCGGACCGTAAGTAAACAAAAGCCGTGCTGTTATAACTTTCGAAACGTAAGATTTCCATACATAGACATTTCCTAATGGTTGCACACTCTACCAATTGTCAGGTAGAGGTGCGCAAAATCTTGTGCGATATTCATTAACTCATTGGAGGTGGAAGCGGAGCGCGAGGCAGGCCTTGGAGGGATATGAGAGGGGGACGCTAATAAGAGATACTTTGACTAAAGCTAGTCTTGTTGACAACTCGTTCACTCCAGTGTATGCGGGCTAAGCCCCAGTTCTGAGGTCGGTAAACAAAAGCAGAAATTATAATAAAAACAAAACAAGCAACTCCTGGATTCGAGGCTTAGTCCACATACACTGGAGTTCAAGAGTCGTCAATATTTAAACCTTTAGCAGCGGGTTTACCGCTAACCGCTCATCACTAACCGCTAGGAACGAGGCCTCGAAAAACGCCCTCAAACACTGAGAAACATTCAGCAAAAATGAAATTCAATATGGAGACTCTTCCAGCAGGGACCTCATTATGACGCGTTGCTGAATGTCAAACGTTTCACGAAAAAAAAGACCTGGCGCGTCGAACTGCAGTTTGAGGTTTGCGGTACCTAGCAAGAACGTGATGGTCTCAATAGTAGCCTTTGGTGTGATCGTGAACATTGACTTGTTGATTTTTTCAGATACCCGGTAGTGCGACAAGTGAAAGGACTCGAAGGTGAGTTTCTACGACTAAAAGAAGTAGACAATTTGGGAGTTTGTATTTTAAATAAGCGTTTGTTATCACTTCCAGGTAATGTGGCCATTGGTCCTGATGAGGAGAACACCTTTATCCCATACATAAGATATGGAATATTACTTCATACGGGGGAATGGAAAAACTGGAATTCGTCACGGCCAATGCCCAATAGGTAAGAAAAGCCTTTGACAGAAACTGCTTTTTTGAACACTTCATTGTCGCGCAGGGATTGGGAAACGCGCCTTTGGGTAGACAGTGTACCCAAAAATGTGGCATTTCGTTGGCTGTATGAGTAAGAGAACATCACGTCGCCACAACTGCAGACGTGTTTAACGCGCAACGTTGGGGATGATTTTTATTCAACTTTTTGAATGTTGCGCGCAAAAGTTGAACCTTTTTCTAACTTAAGGTTCATTGAGCCATCCCGCTATGAAGAAGGTAGGCATGGTTTAACCAAGAAAGACTCGGTGGTCACAAAAGAAATTGTGGGATATTTTTAGGGATATAACATAAAAAGGTTTGAAATTTATTTCCATAATTCCATCATGACCCAGGACTTCAGTTGTGAGGCCTCTACAACTGGGACAAATAGAAAATTATAATAACTGTTATCAAATTTTCATTTGCTTTTATTTGGATTCAAGAAAGTGAAAGTCGCGTGCTAGGCGTGCCAATACATATGCGAAGCTGCAGTATCCCCCTGGCAAATTTTGTTCAACAAACAAAAAAAAAACTTTTTGTTTTTTTATTTCTTTATTCATTATTTTAATATCACAAATATTTTCTTTCCTACTAGTAATGGTTGCATACATGCTCACCCAACCGACCTGCAAAAAGTTGATGAAATTCTAACTAAAGATCTTGGAGTGACTGTTAGATCGAACCCATTTGGTACAATCCCCTATCCCTACCAGCCCCAAGGTCTGCTCTCTATTGAACAAATTGATCATTGATTATTAGTTTATTAGAACGTGTCACGCGACCCAAACAACTCCAGACGCGGCATGTTCCTTTTGTGTTTTGCGCTGCCATCCATCAAACTCTTAGTAAATTATTTGATTGACGGAAGCCAGTTACCCTGGTTACCGAGTAGCTGTGTTATTACATGAGTGCCTCTCGAAATAGGGTATTTCCTATATAGCTCGGTTGGTCACGGCCACATGCTTGGTTCCAAGTTAAAATGAGTGTGCATGCTACCACAGGGTACCCGAGTCTAATATCAGCCAATGTCTATGTGTGCAGCGCCCGACTTAAAAGCAATTATATGATTAAGCTAAATTAAATTTGTATCTATATTCAAAATTATGATAATTATATTATATTATAAATTAATTTTTTTTCTATGTAAGATAGAGTTTTGAAGATGAATATATAACAATCTTAGTTAATTTATGATTCAAGACTTTCTAGTTTATGCACTGACAGTATTAAATAACTTGATGTACCTGTGTTTGCCATGAAAATGGTAGATATTTAAAATATTTGGAAATTTCTTTTCTATAAAACAGTATTTGAGAAGGACGTTTCGGTAAAGAATGCACTGCGCAAGTTCGGAAAATCACTGACAACAAGTAACGATCGATTGGCGAAATCTTCCTTCCCGAAGGAAATTCGGTTGTCAACTAAAACTTGCCTCTTGTTCACGTGGAAACATAAAAGCGTTTTCACATGTAAGATAGGCTAGTCTGTCCAGAACAATAGTTATTCAAAGTGGTCGCCATATTTACATTCAGTGTATTGACTCGGTTCTCGTCCGCCATTTTTCCGCCCAAATTTCGAACATGCGCGGTGCTATCTTCACATTCGTACCCTTATAATGTCATAGGTGTCCCAAGAATACAGCCATTATCTTGGCCCCTCCAGACTCGTTTTGACCCTTCCCACTACGAGGCTGGATGGTCAAAATCGAGACTTATAAATCTACATGCCTTACTACTGAAGTTTGTGTAAAACTTGTATTCGCTGAACTTGTTCTTTCTCTTCATTCTTCTGTCCGTGACAACAATAATCGTTAGAGAGGATGACGATCCAATTTCTGCAGGTGTGTAGCTATTTAGCATGAAGTTAGGGTGTTGTCTACATGATGAACTGAATTACACTTCCCATGAATCCAACCATTTGTAGACTGGAGCTGTGGAGTTGACATGGTGAGCCATGGGGCCTGACATCCCATAAGAAAGACCGCGGAACAAATAGAAGCTGGAATACAGAACCGAACGTAGAAAGATTAAACACGAGATCTCTTCAGATTGGGCGTAATGTTTTTACATTTAAGACCACCCGTCATTCTCTTGAGTATCATTTCTTTGTTCAAGGGTTGCGTACGAGAAGACGCATGTATATGGATACACCTCAAACAAAGAATCTTATCTGACATACAACATACCTGACAACAGACATGGTGATAAGCAGCCCAATTCCAGTGTAATACGTCATGACTCGCCACTTCTCTACCTTCACAAATGATGAAATGGTTTCACAGAGGAACTCACACATCACACCTGTGAAGAAAAGGGAATCGTTTACTGCTTTACTGGGACTATAGTTAACATTAACTTCAGGAAAATGGCGGTTTTAAAAGTTGTTAAACTGAACTTTTAATACGCTCCTAGTACTAGCCAGGCTTACAATTGCCTCCTGCGCAGACGTCCTTAAAGTGCACATGAACCCTTCGACAATACTTTC